GTGTACATGTGGCTAGTTGTATCCTCGTGAATCTGATGTAATATCGTAACTATCCGAAATAAAGCTCATGCCAATGGTCTAAGTGGTCACCTTTAATATTAAAAAAAAAAAAATAATAAAAAATAAATACAATTTTCTATTAAGTATAGTAAATTAATTTTTTTTGCCTATGTCTTCGATTACAGGTTCATATATTATAGCCTTTTTTACTACATTTTTTGCAAGTATTTTGGTCTTCTGGTACTATTTTTCAAAATAAATATTATTTTAATTTGTAATATATTTAATATAAAGCAAAATATTTATAATCGAAAAAGCCACAATAGGCACTAATTTATATAATGCAAAATTACTTGGGCCTGTATTTGTAATATTTTCAAAAATTAGGCTTTTATAAATAAATATTTTTAAGTTGAGCTCTTATTTATAATTATTTTTAAATTTGGATTCTGATATGTAATTTTTTCAAATTTTTTTGCTGCTAAATAAAGTTTTAATTTTTATTAATAAATTACTAAAAGTATAATAATAATAGTTGTAAAGGCAGTGTCATTTATTACCTGTTTTTTTTATTAGAAGCATTCTCCCTCTTCTCTCTAAAAAATTACCTGATTTTTGTCACTCTTCTAATTCTTTAAATAAACTATAATATTTTTTTAAAAACTATATATTTAAAATTAATATTTAAAGAGTTTGTTAAAAATTTATAAATAATTTTTTTGATTAAAAATTTTTTCTAAACTTGTTTATTTTTAGCTTATAAATAATTTAAACTTTTTTCTTATACTATAAAAATTAATTTTGCAAAAAAGTAATCATTATTTTTAAATATAATTGTATTGCTATAGAATGGATTGGATATCTTCATGAAACCCAGAAGATCTCTACAATCATAACGAGCTATAATACATGAGAAACAAACCAATAGTTGGTCAAATAATTAGAAATATACTTTTTATACCTTTTATACCTTTTATATCTTTTATACCTTTTATACCTTTTATACTTTTTATACCTTTTATACCTTTTATATCTTTTGTATCTTTTATACCTTTTATATCTTTTATACTTTTTGTACTTTTTGGACCTTTCATACATTTTATACTATTATATCTTTTATACTTTTTATACTTTTTCTATTATCTGTATTTTGTATAATAATAATATTTTCTTAGTATTTGTAAAAGTATATAAACCCTAGCTTTCTGCCCTTCTGTAGCTTTAGAATTAGTTTTCTGCAATCTTTAGTTATTAGGATTTTTTAAGCACAGATACCTATTGATAGCCTTGTATCTTAAATATTGTATTATTAATAAATATATATCTTTTGCCCTCTGAATAAACTATAAATAAACTATACTAAACTGAGTAACATTCCACTTTCACACTGCTTCATATCTCTCTCTGTTGTTTTTGAGATCCCTGTTGCTATATACTGTGTTGCAAGTACTATATTTACAAGAAGGCTATAGTCACTTGTAATATTTTGGTGCCTCCTGGCAGAAACCAAAATTAAATACAGTCATTCTTCTCTATAATCATGCTGTTTGTTTTATATAAAAAAAATGTGATTATAAATTTTAATAGTAATGTGATTATATAGAGTGTTTTTAATAAATATATTGCCAATAATTTTTCAAAAAATAGTGCTTATAAAGAGGGTGTGATTATATAGGAGGTAACTGTAGAGGAGAATGACTGTATCTTGGTATTCTTTCTTACTTTTTAAAGATTAATTTATTCATGAACGTCTATTACTACAAGAGTAATAGTATACTTGGAAAACCTGTCAAATTGAAAGAAATTTGCACAAAAGTGTATACTTAACGCCTCTGCTTTAGTAGCAACTTGGAAAGTCCTGTCAAATTAAAAGAGATTTGTATAAAAGGGCCACTTTAAGTCTCTGCTTTCATAGCAACCAGAAGCTTGCATCTTACTGCAAATTTTAACTGAATATTAAGTACGAATTACTCATGAGCCAAAGTATAGACATAAGTAATTTCAAAATTTTTAAATTAGTTACTAATTATTTTAGATACAAATTTAGACAAAACTCTGTATAATTCAAGCTTATGAGATTCATTATGAACAAATTGAAGCACACGAAGCTAGTCATCTATTTACTCTATCTACCAAAGATTTACAATTAGAAAATCCTGATTTATCTTGCAATATTTGTTACTCTGCTTTTAGTTTTCATTACTCTTATCATCACTTTTGAACTAAATATAAAGATACTTATTTTGCCATCAAATATACTCAAAAGATAGTTAATGCCTATTTTTAACTAAGTACTGTATGATATTATAATACAGCTAAAGCTGCTACCTGTGATATTGTTTTTAGCTGCCACTATATCAACCCTTATTTAGATCCAAAAGAAGCAATATCTGTTCTTCTTCGACAAATACTCCTTATACTCTTGTTCTTATTTTATTTTTTGATTTTGAAGGCAATATCTTTGACCATTATATTGAAGCCCTCTTTTCATCAACCACATTACAACTTTATCGAATAGCCACTACTATCGAAGCTTATTCTTCTTTTTCCCATAAACAAGATCTTAGTACAGATATTACTTTTAATATAGTACTACCTAGTGTTGCCATAGGACAGCTTTGGACAATACTTTGGACAATCTTGGACAATCTTAGACAATTAAATAAAGTAAAATTACTTAAAATTTTATTAAAATAATCTATTTTAATTTTAATTAAAATAAATTTAGCATCTAAAAAAATATATAGTTATATATTTTTTAGATGAATTTATTAATTATTAAAGCCTAAACAAGCTTTGGACAATCTTGGATACTTGGACAATTTTGGACATGAACAAGTCAAAAAAAGTTTGGATAGCCAAAATATACAACACTGGTCCTATCTATACAGTCAATATATACTAAATATTAGGACCTGATGATTTAGATACTATTCCCGATAACCCCACTTCACCTAGTTTACCACATATAACAAAGACATTACTCAAATAGAATTTCTCTCTTGACTTAACTTTCTCTTTTCCCCTTTCATAGCAATCCCTTTAGATATTTCTCCTTGTCAACCTAGCCTAACACCTTCTACTAGTCGACAACCTACTAGATTTAACCAATTTATCTGATATGTTAACTCTTTTTTCACTAACCGCACAACTATAACTTATCCCTCTTCTCCTATTATTGGAGCCTATCCCTAAACATCTTTAAATACCATATCTCTAAATACTCTATCTCAACTCCATCAACCAATTCCAATTATCTATTCTGAAAATACTTACCAAATTATAGAAATCTATCCAGAAGCTAACTTTGAACCAACTTTCTTTAAAGATCTTGAATTATCTAAAGTATACTCTTTATCTAGTAAATATCCTTCTGACAATGAATCTAAGCATACTAAAATATCTGAACACCAAGAAGACCAAAACCTTGAGACTAAACAACCTAAAGGAAATCTCTAACTTGAAGAAATTAAACAAGTACTATTAAACAATATAGTAGATACTGCTTTAACTGATACTGCAGAAGCAATAACTCAACTTGCTAAAGCTCTTGGACAAGGTGGAAAAAAGTCACTTATTAAAATAGAAGTGATAGAACCCAAGATTCTATAATCTGAATAGAAGAATTTGAACAAGCTGCCAAAACTAACCACTAGCATGCTGCTCGACAATTAGAATTAGCTACCGCTTATATAAAGAACAATGCTCAAGAATGGTTTACTAGTCTTGCAAATACTCCAATTTACTTTTATCATGCTCAGCATGGCCAACTAGTAAATAATCATCAAATTATAAGTTTTTCTTACCTGTTCAAAGAAAAGTTTAGTACTACTAAACAAAAAGCTAAATAGTAAAAACAACTTTTTGCAATAAAACAAAAAACAGATATTGTTAATACCTATATTAGACACTTTAAACAATTAAAAGCCAGAGTCAACCCTGATAATAATCTTCCTGTTTTATTACTTATTTAATTCTTTATTCGAGGACTATGCCCAGAATATGCTATAAATATTTAAGCTGCTAAATATGATATCTTGGATACTACAATAACCAAAGCCAAGAAATAGAAAACTAAAAGAACCATGGCTACTGACTATAAAACTAATGATACTACTAATCAAGCTATTGAATATCTTACTGAACAAATCACTAAACTAAGTATCAATCTTGCAAAGAAACAAAATACTTCTTTTACTCCTGTTTATTATACAGACAACAATAAAAGTTCCTCATAACAAAGTAATAATAATAATAGTAGTGTTGTATACTATTATTGTGAAAATAAAAGATATTTTATTAGAAAGTACTGTATTAAAAAAGAAGATAAAAATAGAAGCTCTCATGCTTATTCCTGTGATTGTTATAGCTTCTCGTCATCAAGGAATCATCAATCTTATAACAGATCTCGATCTAGCAATAGAAACAGATCTAGAGACTGAACTTCTAGTCATTCTAAATATAATTGATCTAGAAGCCAAAGTCAATCTCGAAATAGATTAAGGAATGATAGAGACTATCATTCTTCTAACCAATCTAGAAGCCATTCTTCTACTTCTTATTCTCGAAATGTTTATATTGTTGATACTGCTAATAATTATACTTATAAACAATTTAAAATATTTTTAGTTAATAAATCTATTTGAAAAGCTCTAGCTTGATATTTAGCTAAGGAAGCTAAGACTAAAACACAGATACTTTCTTATACCACTTCTATAAAATGTAATATTAGACTTAAAAGAAGATCTTATCAAGCTGTAATTGATAGTAGTGCTACAATTAGCATGATCTCTTATCAAACTGTTAAGAAACTTGGATTAAAAATAGAAGCTTCTTTGACCAGCCTCATTATATTTGCTACTAGATTTTTTGTTCAATCTCTTGGAATAATTAGAAATTTGCTTGTAAAAGTTGAAGGTATTGTTATCTCTCTTGATATTGAAGTAATAACTGCTACTTTATATTCATTACTTTTAGAGTCACAAAAAATAAAAGCTAGTTATAATTAGAAAAACAAAGCTTATACTCTTAAGTGAAATAAAAAAAAAATTTATATCCTAACTTCTTATAAAAATAACCAACTACTACTTACTCAACCTACAATTACTGATGAAAAAAAATTACAACAATTTAAACAAGAATATATTAGCCTTCAAGAAGCCTATATATTTGAAGCCAATCATCAAATTGCTTCTACCTCTAGATCTAGACTTGACTCTAGTAATAAACTAAAATATAGGAATTGTTCCTCAACTACTTATCTTTTCGCTAATTGCCCAAATAACCAATGTTATAGATGTTACCAGTATGAACATCTTGCTATGTATTGTCCAAAACAAACCTCTAAACGAACCTCTTGCCAAATCTGTTTATAACCAGAACATTTTTATAAAAACTGCCCTAATAACCAATACTATTGATACAATAAGTATAGTTATATTAGGAAACATTGCCTTCTCAATACCATTATTTTGGATAACCAATACTATATATATAGATATTCCCCAACTGAAGTTGAAAGTCTTTGACAAGCCCATTACTCTATTCATTAAGTAAACCATTGTTGCAATTGTAAAGTACCTCAAAAGCCTGAAGATATTAGACTGCTAGAACAAACCTTAGTTTGTAAAGCATGTTGGACTAATTTTTATCATGAGCTTGACCAAGATGATCCTTGAAGTATTAAGTATTTTACTAATAGTAAAGGAAAACAAATCCTCTTAAAATGCCAATTATGCAAAGAAGAATATATTAGATCCAGAATGTATAAATTAGATACCATCTTAGAGGATTCTTGGTTTTGTAATCTTGAACATTTGTATACTTATAAGTTTGCTAAAGATATGGAATGGAACTCTAACCTAAATCTTTGGACTCAAGTTCAACATTATACTGAGTCTACTTAAAATACTGGATATGTTTATGATCTAAATCAAAGCAGAATATTTCGTTTAGCCCAGATACAATTAGATAAAAGTAATGAACATATTCTCCATGCCCTTGAACCCCTTGCTGCTAATTGTTTCAACCAGGACTACACTTATAATAAGGTTAATCTTGTTATGAGAGCCTCTCAAGCCCAATTAACTGAAAT